TGTAGTATGTCTATCATTCACTTGTGATGTCAAAACTGTCCGATTGCCAGTGAATAATGAATAACTAATTTGGAATTTCAAACAGTTTAGGCTGATAAGTTTCCGATTTGACATCGAATATTTAAATGAAATGCCATTATTTAAAGTAGGAACTGCTCGCAAAAAAAATTGAGCTGATCAACTCAATAATTGCCTTTGTAAAGTTTTTTCTAGGTGTGAATTTAACGGAAAAAATATTTTCCTTAGCGCTTAATTACCCTGAAATTTTACTTTGCGCGTGCTATTAACAACCACTTTCATTTTTCTAAAGCATTTTACATTACAAAAAAAAGTACTTTAACTTTAATAGAAAGTTTTTATAAAATTAAACAATTGTTTTCATTTATGTACTTGTGTTTCTTTTTAATTTCAGTTAGCACTCATTCAGACGAAGCATGTCATTGCACGTTTGCAAAAGCTCTATCCAAAAAAGAAATTCGAGATCCGTAAGTGAATGTTATTTATTTTACATTTTTGAAAATTCTTAAAATTAGAGTGCACTGTATGTATGTACGTAAGCACATATGTATGTTCACTTATTAAGAAAAGTACATTCGAAATGTTTTCAGTTATTTCATTCAGTTAATAATGTATAGACAACAATGAATCACCTTTCAATTATGGCGGAAAAAATTCATGACTTATAAAACTATTTTGCGAAGCATATTATTTGTCCCATTCGATCCAGATATCCCTCGCGATCGGGTTAGGATTCAATAATGTTCGACCTTTTTGGATTTCTCACGCCTGATGATATGATGACCTTGGACCTTCCCCTTATCTCCTTTATGTGGTCAACTTAGTACATAGTTCTGTATTCTTTATAAGTGTTCGGTTTTTATTTCGTGAAGCGAAAAATCTAAAAGTTAAATATAGTCACCCCGGCCTCTACATTAATCTCTTAATATAATTTATTAAAAGCTTAAGCGGACTTAATACCGATAAATAAGGGCACAGGCCGCTATATATACGTACATATGTATGTAATGTATATACACGTGTGTACATACGTATGTATGTACATATATGGCTGTGCAATTGTAAAGAATAAATTGCATATGAATGTATATTCTAGATAAAATTTGTAAATATCAGCAGTAAAGGCTCCTGGCAAATTAAATTAATTTAACTTCGCATATAAATATGTAGATTTTCGTTAAATTACTTTTTATATCATGATAGGAGCCATTTATTTTGATATAGGAGCCGCTTATTTTGAAAGTGGCATAAGTCATTTCATACCTCTTGGTCTTAAATAACCAGTTACTTGTAACGGAGTACATCTGTAGATCGTTCTTCTGTCGCAAACTAATGACAAAACTTGTTACCTATGGCTGATGAAGTTGAACAAATAAAAGACGCACTCAGCTACAGACAAATGATCGCTGAAGTCAAACGACATGAAATTACTTATGCCAGTTTTCTGTGATAATAATTTTTTTATCAGTGCAGTAACTTGAATCACATACATACATACCGTATATAGTTAATATCATTACCGCTTTTCATAAATTTTGTTTATAAATTTTGCTCTACTGTTTGTATATTTTATCAAGTTGTTGAGGGGGAAGTGGTGACTATGCATGAATTTAATTTGTTAGATAAGGTTATGATTTTGCTTATTTACGAATTTCAATTTGAAAGCCCTCCCCAACGTATTTTGTTTCTAATCCTTTTTTATTTTTAATTCAGATACCATGTCGACTATCGGCGATCGGGTACTCAACATATCACTGCCGAAAATCGGAGAGAAAAGCCTTTTTACACGCGATCTGGAAGATGCGCTGCGCAATGGTGGCGTAGATTTTGTAGTACATTCGTTAAAGGATCTACCTACTGCTTTGCCTACGGGCATGGCAATTGGCGCCGTACTTGAACGAGAAGATGCTAGAGATGCCTTGGTGCTGCGAGAAGACTACAAGGGTCATACAATTGAAACGCTGCCCGAGGGTTGTGTTCTAGGTATGTAATAGAAATCTAGCGTTATGCTCAAAACCTAAAATCTAATAATTTCTCTTCTTTTTATAGGCACTTCTTCGTTGCGCCGCACTGCTCAAATTCGTCGTCAGTATCCCCATCTGACCGTTTGCGATATACGCGGCAATTTAAACACGCGCTTAGCCAAATTGGATGCACCCAATTCGAAATTCGCCGGCATAATACTAGCACAAGCCGGACTTGTTCGCATGGGCTGGGATAGCCGCATTAGCCAAGTACTCGAACCGACTGATTTGCTTTACGCAGTTGGGCAAGGCGCTCTGGCGGTCGAATGTCGCGCCAATGATCTAGAAGTGCTGGGCATGTTGCGAAGTTTAATGTGTCTTTCGACAACCTGCCGCATACTGGCCGAACGCAGCTTCCTGAAAACTTTGGGTGGAGGTTGTAGTGCACCTGTTGCGGTTTGGAGTAATTTAGATGGCGATCTATTGGAAACAAATGCAAATCATGCCAGTAGTGCGCTTTCATTGGTAGGTGCCGTCTGGAGTTTAGATGGCTCCACAGAAATACGTGACAAAAAGGCCTGTACGTTTGCCATTGTTGAAGTAAATAAGAAAGAGCATGCCGACAATGGTAATTTGGTGCAAGAAAATGAAGACGACGACGATAGCAGCGATCAACCGCCTACTAAACGACGGCGAAGCAATGAGTCCGGTAGTCCAGTGCTGCAACATAGTCCGCCCGTTATTAACGACGATGCCGAAGCGGAGAAGGTAGCCGGTGCCTTTAATATGGGGGAAATTATTGAAAAGCACATCAGCCTAGCACAGCATTGTCCAGTAATAAGCGCTGACTTGAATAAGATTGACACCATTGGCAATGCCGGAGATGCCAATGGCAATAGTAATGTAAATTTGGATCTGCGTGCCGGTGGCGATTCCAATGTGAACAATCCACATTGTCCGCTGAAAATGAATGTGGGTCAAGACTTCATGGGTGAATGCCCATTTGTGAGTAAAGAAGAAAAGGTAGCATTAGCTACCGCGGGGAAATGTCCCGTAACAAATGAGCTTGCAAACAAGCAGTATGATGAAACCGACAATGCTGCCATTGCGGCAGTGCCATCTACCTCAAAATGCCCGTTCGCCAGCATGCATGGCGGCGCAAATGGCAACGAATACTCAGCCAGCGCAGCAGACGCTGTAGCCGGCAAATGCCCGTTCCTACAGAAAACCGTTAAGATGTTTGATTACGCAGATGAAGAGAAGCCACAGCCGAAGTCAGTGCCGGTGTTGATCGAAGATGTGGAGAATCTTTATTGTGGTTTGTACCAGCATGCGTGTTACAATCGAGAATTGTATATACGAAGTAATGCTCTGGGACAGCAACTTGCTGAGGAGCTGATTAAGAAAGGTGCCTTAGAAGTTATGAAGTGCGCACAAGCGGAGATACATAGCAAAGCATAGAGGGGAAAAAGCTAGGTCTTGTTCGAGTTGCAATCACAACCGCAGTGTTGCAACAGTCCTGCAAATTTTCATCAGCGCTACAGTGTTGCTGCTTTAATTACGTGCCTCGAACAGGCCTCTATTTAGACACGAGCGGTTTCGTACTAGAGTAGGAAATGTTTTTTTTTCCTTAATTTTTTGCTTGTTTCTCCATGACATCTACATTTAGCAATGTAATCTAAAAGTAATGGTTTTTTTTTTGAAGAAGTTTAAATTGGTCAGTAAATATTATTATATAGTCATAAAAAAGACAATAAAACAAAGTTTATCATAGTGAGGAATTGTGGACAATTTTTTCCCATTTGTTAATTGCAATTTTTTAGCTTTTTTATGTTTGTGTAATTATTTGTTGAACGCTCTTTAGTCCGAAGTTTATTATTTTTTTTATTGTACCTAGTTGTTAAAACATTTGTAATACACATTAGATAATGGCTTTGCAAAGGTGGCATGTAAACGAGATGGATTCATTTTGTTGAACATATTTATTATAAACATGTGGATTCGAGATGTACATATATACATAGATACATATGTATGTGCATACATTTGTAATATCATTTACGGCAAAATAAAACAAAATCATTGGAACAAAGTATTCGCTTTATTTCTCTAATTTCTAATAGGATGTACTATATAGTAGGTGTTCATACAAATGTATGTACATATACACATATTTTCGTTAGGATCTATTTCAAAAATGGAAATCGACAGATCCGTCAGCGAGTAACAACTTATCGATACGAAAAGTTTAAACAAAATGTTATGTTGGAAGACTTCATGGCGCCATCGGAAGATTGTTTTAGTTTCTAATAATTTGAGCTGTTATAAAAAACTTTTCCTTTTATACTTGATTCTTTTCGTAAAATGTATTTATCAAAAAACTATTAAATAGATATTCAAACAACTTAATATCCAAATTTTGCTAATGAAAAATAAGCTACCCGATAATGCCTACAAAATAAAAATTTTAGAAAGTATCTCAATTACCATTCAAGCTCATCACTTCTGGATGTTTTTCATGCATATGTTGTTGCATTTTCGATCGTTTGCTAAAACGTTTCGTACAGCTGGGATATTGGCATGCTAGCTTGTTGTCGAAACACTTCTCACTAAACATATGAGCCTCATATTTTTCCACTGACCGGAATTGTGCATCACATTTGGGGCAATTTTTTACATGATCGCCGCGATGCTGCTTATCCATATGTTCGCGTAACTTATCTACCATCGAAAATGCTTTACCGCAGACAACGCAAATCTCTTTTTGTTGGGATTTCTCGCCATTGAGAATTCGGACATTTGCCGGCTCTTCTTCCCTGGACTCTATATGCTTTGATTGCTTAGACTTTTTTGGTGTTTCTTCAACTCGTCGTTTCTTAGCTGATTGATCTTGATCTTCACCCGAGTCTGAATGTATGGCTGGCGAATCACTCACTGTATTCAAATCGTAGTGACTATGTTTATTTGATACGTGGCTCTGTAGTAAGCTATAGCGCTCGTATGCAGCTGAACAGTAAAGACATTTGTAAATATCGCTATCGATTACACCATGCTGACTGATCATGTGTGCTTTATATATTTTTCTCTTTATGCTTTCAAAATCGCAAAAAGAACATTGGAAAATCCACTCAACGGTGGACGTTTCACTTGAGCTCAAATCATTACGTTTCCTCTTTGAGGGCGTTTGAAAAACAAGGTCTTGCTGGTTCTGTTTTTCATCGGCAATGCTGATAATTGAACCATTCATTTCCTGTTCACCGTATCCTTCACAATCTTCTTCTTGGCCTTTTTCTAATTCTGGTTCTTCTTGCTCTACTTTTATGGCTATGAAGTCTTCTTTGTCTCCCGTTCTGGACGCTTTCAAATTTGCTGCCGCAACAGACTTGCGTGTTTGCAGTTTCTGTTTGGGCTTATTTTCATGCTCATAAGCAATATGATTTTGTAATGCAGATTGCCGTGCATATGTGCTGGCGCAACGCTTACACTTAAAAATCCGCGAATCCTCAATTTTATGCTTGCTTTTCATGTGTCTTTTGTACATTTTAGCATGCACTGTTTTATATTTACAGTGTGTGCACTCGAATTCAAAAGATGCATTCGGGTCATCAGCTTGGCTGTGCTCGTTAGTAGTGTTAACAATTGAAATCTCATTGTCCAGTTGATTTTGGATGGTCGTGCTGCTTAGTACAGACGGAGCATCAAAGGCAATGGTTTTACGTCGCTGGCGTTTCGGGCGCGGTTTATTGTTATGAACACATGCAATGTGATTTTGTATACCATTGATGCGCTGATATGTTTCTTGGCAATGCATGCACTGATAGATTCGTGGGTTATCTACCTTATGCTTATTAAGAAGGTGCCTTTTGTAAATTTTGGGTTTTTTTGTTGTCAACTCACAGTGCGTACAATGAAACGTCCAGGAGTCATTCCGTTTGGAGGCATCTTTTGTTTTTGAACTGTCAACTTCTTCATTCGCTTCTTCATTACTTTGGTCATCCGGTTCATCATTGCTTTCTTCCTGTTCGTTGTGTGATGAGGCGATATTTAAACGGCCTTTCTGAATTTTTCTTGTGCTAGGCAAGGATTTTGAGAGACGTTCTAAAACAATTTCTGTTTTTATAAGACCCGCCGAACAGCCGGCGCAGATAAGGTATTTTGGAGGGAACTCAACCTGTTGGAAGAAAATGATTGTTATCGTTTCGTTAGGTTATTGCATTTTACTCACATGATCACCAATTATAAAGTTTATTATACTAGACAATTGTGTGCCTAGTACTCTTTCCTTGGGATTAAATAGTTTGGAATACTTATTCTTACACAAACTGCACGTATCCATTTTGGTTATCTTCCTGAAGCCGACTTTAATAAAAAATCGTGGTTCACGTCTCTTCTTCATGTTCCACGGACAGCATTGGGAGCGGTGAGATCAGTGCACGGACTTCACCACTTAATTGGTAGATCTACCAGTGTTGCCAGAAAATTTACCAAATTCCTCAAAAGCAAATGAAAAATCCTCAAAATCCGAACAAATTAGTCAAAATTTTCTTATTACAGATATAAGTATATTGCATAATGGCTGCATTTCTTTATTCATTCTGAACGTTTGGAATAAGCTTTTTTGTTTATTTATTCTTTAGAACGTTCCTGTTGATATGTTGACGTATATTTCAAACGCATTCTGTTTATTCCGGCTGTGAAATGGGATTATTCGGAATGTATAAAGAAACGCAGCCTGTATGTTCTTGTGGTGTGATTGTACCAGCTGATGGTGCGACTTCAAAAACTATTTGAAAATTTTATGATTGTACCAGCATGCGGGTGTCGTAAGTGGTGAAATTAGCTCAATTTTCTAAGAAAAAAGTATTGAGGCGGAAATTTCTTCACTATATGAGTCAAAGCCGTTTATGTGGAAGATTAAGTTGACGATATTGCAGTTGGGAAATAAAAAAAAATATTTTTAACAAAATACTCAACAATTTTGATGAGCTTGAGGCCGTTTTAAGTGAAAACTTATTGTGGAAAAGCAACAATAATTTGAAAAAATGGTAGAAGTGATAGCTATTTCGGAAATCACCACATTTCCTCATCAGACTTCTTTCAGTAGGATTCGAACCGACGATCACCACTGACTCAGCCAGTTGCCTACGCACTGTGCTAAGTTTGCCTTGCTAATTCTTGTTGCTTATTTCCACCATTTCACTTTGCTAAGCCAACTACAACCAAGCGCAGCTATTCCGCTGCAATTCACTTGATCATGTGCTTGTTGGTTTTTGTTAATTTTTCTGTAGTAGTTCTGGCTTGTAGTTCAACAATTCAACCAGAAGCTGACATAGACGCGCACATGGTTATTATGCCCGAGAGCTCTGCGTATCTCTGCGAAATCATTCCCATAGCGCGCTCTTACTCCGCTGCTATAATTGCTAATGTAATAGAGTCCACATTCCTTCCTTCCTTCAAAATATGTAAAATTAAACAATTTTACTATAAATAAGCACTTCACGAATGTTTTTTTTAATTCCTTTCCACTTTGTTGTCCTTCATTCAGTTATCTTCGAAAAACAACTGATAGTTGGAAATGCTGCACATGTCTCCGCAAGGGTTGCAGCATGTGGATTTTTCGTTTCTCGTAGCATAGCTACGAATTACGAATTACGAAAATTCGGGTTCAAGAATAAGGGGGGAAATTTATTTTTCATCTACCAAAAAGATGCTTCTTTCCCCACGCTCTAATTAATTATTTTACGTGTATTTATTTTATATGGCTAATAAAATTACCAAATAACTACATTTTCTGAAAATTCTGTGATATTTTTCACTTTTGTTTTTATAAAATTTGCTTTCGGATTTAACAACAGCAGTTATTTCAAATTGCCCTTTTGCACATTTGTGTCCGAACAAAAAGTCCGGGCTGTTGCGTGCACAAAGAAGAAGACATTTACGATCCAAAAGTGGAACGTATTCGCTCTCTATTACCCATTTTTCTAGCGTGAGGAACGCTTTCTGGGCTGTTTGGGGCAGTGTAATCAAACGAACACACAGCGCTCATGAACCACAGCGCTCAGGTTTCAACTTCTTTACAATTTCTGCTTTGTTCACAAAATATTTTTACTTGTGTATGTAAGTATGTACGTATATAGATATTTGTACTTATCGTACACATATTTTGGAGGTAGAAGTCATTAGGCTGTGCAATGAATAGCAGCAACATTCAGCTTATGACTTGCTTGTACGGTTAACTGATCCGAAGATGTATTTTAAGTACGTATGAAAATATATACAAATGTACATATGTACATTGTACAAATGTATATA